ACATGAGAGTCAGTTGGTACTACATTACTTTAACATTGAAGGTTAAAATTGACTGATTTGTTAAAATTACACAATGAAGTTTTTAAATCAATAAAGTTACAATTACATAATATTTCTACTTCAATTAGTTTTTTGTTTTGTTTTTAAATATAAACATAATGGTGGCTGTCATAAAAACTTGATGGATTTATTCAAACACAAATTAAACATTGAAGAACAGTAAATCTTAAAAAAAAAAATTAAGCAAAATGCCCCTCTCTACAGTTTATTTTTCTAGCTGACTAATGAGTTTATGGTCACCGAATATGTTTTTCTGAGGTAAATGTGACATTACGTGACACATTGTTTACAAGCCGTTATATTGGCGTCTTTGCGCGCCTGAAACACTGATTGAGCAATTACATGAGACAGGCTACGGATTGTAGAGTTGTACTCTTTCTTTTAACACCTTCGAATGTTTAGTCATGTTTATTTTCTGCTGAAACTGGTATTAATGTGGAGGAGATGATCAGTTCACATGCGCCTCGCGCTGCTGCGTCTGTTGAACTGAGGCTTCATATTAAAAGTACCAAAGCACAATGCTTATTGTGATATATTGGGTGGGAAGTACCCTTCAGTGTTCCATCCATTAACTGAAAACAGGCTAGACTAATCGATTCTTGGGATTTAAGAATCGATATAGTTCTGTAAAAATGAGAATCGCTTAATATCGAGATATCGATATTTTTTACCCAGCCCTATCCAAGATGTAGATGAGTTTGTTTCTTCATCAGATTTGGAGAAAGGCAGCATTGCATCAGTGTCTCAGCAATGGATGCTCTGCAGTGAATGGGTGCCGTCAGAATGAGAGTCCAAACAGCTGATAAAAACATCACAATAATCCACACCACTCCAGTCACATCTTGAGAAGTGAAAAGCTGTCTGTTTGTAAGAAACAAATCCATCAAGATGTTTTTTAACCTCAAACTGTTGCCACTAATCCATAATAATGCTTTCTAAAAATCTATTCTGATGAAAAAACAAACTCATCCACATCTCGGATGGCCTGAGGGTGAGAACATTTGCAGCAAATGTTTATGTTTGAGTGAACTGTTCCTTTACATGCATCAGATCTGAAGGAGTCTTCATAGGTTCATTCCCTCTGTATCAGACCTTGAAGATTCCTGCTGGCTCACAAGAATGTTTCAGAAGCTTGATTTTCACTGTATGTGTGGTGCATCAAGTTCAGACTTGCTTTAGTTTGGATTCAACATGTAGATGAGTCTCTGAACACGAGTCACATTGATCATCTCTTCCATTTGCTCATATGATGATGATGACTGAGGCATGAACGGAGTTCTTCATCCTGGACTCACCCTGAACACACTACCTGTCGGGTTGAAGACTGCTTTTGCGGTTTAATATTTTCGTGGAAACTGTGATGCACAAGATGTAAAAGTCTGAGTTTTGTACGTTTTTTTTTTTTTTTTTTTTTTAATTTATCAGAAATCAGCATATATCAGAGCAGCAAATAAGCATATTAGAATGATTTCAGAAAGATAATTTTAATCATTAAAAAAAACAATTATTCCAAACTTTTGACCAGTTGTGTGTGTGTGTGTGTGTGTATTTTCTCCCTTTCAATTTTTGTTCTACAGCAGAAAACTTTATAGACATTTTTACATGCACTGATTTTCATCAATCCGAATGGATCTAATGCAACTTTACATTCTTAAAGTAATGTTTATATGTACCCTAAACTTTTGTTTGTTTCATTTACATTGTTTCGAACAAAATTTTGGTGTATGTTCACCAGAAAATAACTGCGAGCATAAGTGGCGTTTTCCCCTTGTTCACATATGTGACCCTGGAGCACAAAAGCAGTCTTAAGTCGCTGGGGTATATTTGTAGCAGTAGCCAAAAATACATTGTATGGGTCAAAATTATAGATTTTTCTTTTATGCCAAAAATCATTAGGATATTAAGTAAAGATCATGTTCCATGAAGATATTTTGTAAATTTCCTACCGTAAATATATCAAAACTTAATTTTTGATTAGTAACATGCATTGCTAAGAACTTCATTTGGACAACTTTAAAGATGATTTTCTCAATATTTAGATTTTTTTGCACCCTCAGATTCCAGATTTTCAAATAGTTGTATCTCGGCCAAATATTGTCCTATCCTAACAAACCATACATCAATGGAAAGCTTATTTATTCAGCTTTCAGATGATGTATACATCTCAATTTCAAAAAATGTACCCTTATGACTGGTTTTGTGGTCCAGGGTCACATATTTTAAAATGAGTCTGAAATGCTTTTTTAGCAAACATTTTGCAACTATTAAGTCTCCTCCCCTGATCAGTTCGTAAAGTGTTAATAAAGTTACGAACCACAGTGCTGCGCAAGTGCGCAATGTTTTTTGAGTCTGATTGAGAACATAGTTGAAATCAAATGTATGGCTAATCATTTTCTATTTAACAGATTACATAGATCTGTACCACTGTTGTTTATAATCGGATCGAGCAATCCGACTGAGCCATCAATCTGATTATTAATGGATTATTAGATTGCGTGTGAGCGAGGGGTCTGTTCATCCCTGCTGAAAAACAGTAGAAAGCCAAGTCTGCGTTTTTTCTTTCTGCAGATTTGGGCCACTTATATATCAACTGTTGCCACAGGTTGATTCGCACAATCAAGTTACAAATCGTGCCACTCTTATGTTAACATTTTGGTGGCGAAAGCCCAATTATTAATTAATTTCCCATTCAAGATTCAATTCTTGGCAGGAGATAAAAATACCCAGAAAATGAAGAGGAATTGAATAAATAATATTGAATAATTTCCAAATAATTACTGAAGCATAAACATTTTCTGCTCTGATTTTAATGTAAATTCTGCATGAATTTAAACATGATCACATTTGTTACGCAGAGTTGAACCATTCACATTCAAGTTGTATATTGATTTCATGCCATTTTATTACAGATACGAATTTGATCCATTTTTAATACATTTCTGGCCCAATCCCAGCTCAGAATGCCCAGATTCGTCAAAGATTTCACACAATTGATTTGAGCAATAAAGTAGCACCTTATGTTTCTGTTTGTTTGATGAAAAGTGGTTTTCTCAATCATCCGGTCCAGGCGTGTGAACGCTCACATATTCAGCCAGTTTGTTCTCCTTCATCTTTGACATGTTTTTCTGTTCTCGTGTTACCTGACCTGCTTTTCCAACAGATACTGATACTCAGCACAAATCTCTGAACTCTGCATGTCATAGCAATATCAGAGTCTTAAAGCCTTTCTGTTCCTGTGGAAGGATTGATTATTTGCTTCCGATTGAACATCAATGAACTCAAACCCATCAGATCTTAATAGGGCTACATTGGACTCAACACACAGACTTTCAATGGACATCCCGCCTGCCTTTGTATATTTATTTTATTTTATTTATTTTTATTTTATTTTATTTGCTTTTCTTTCCTTTTTTCAACAGGTGATGCCTCAGATTTAATTGAAGGACGTTGTTGAACATATATATGTGCACCGTTGTGTCAGATGCTAATGGACACAAATCAAATGTATTTCACATTGTCATTGTTTTTATGCTAACTTTGGAGAGACATATTCTCTGTGTCCGAGCTTGATGGTGAGGGCCTGTACGGATGCTTTCATACATGTCATCTTGTGTTTGTTCAACCATCAGCTTGTTTATTGCACTTTTGTTTGTGTTTAGAGTGAATCACCAGTGTTAAATCAACTGCTTTAGTGATAAACAGCGTTCTTATAGTTGTCATAGTTTTAAAATATTGATATGATGAATTTAATATAGATAAAAATATGCATTTAATTAACTTTTTTTAATTCAATTTACTATTTAACAGTGTAGCTAAAATTACTGCATGATTTCTCCCCATTACAAAATGCAACACACTGGAAGTGATGTCATTTTGGACAAAGTGGTGGGAAGAGAAGTAAATAATTTCATTCTATTCTAATATTTTTTCACAAATCCAAAAAAGGTCCAATAAAGTGCATCCATCCATCATAAAAAGTGTCCCACACAACTCCGGTGGTTTATTAAAGGCCTCCTGAAGAGAATCGATGTGTGTTTTTTTTTTATGATGGATTGTCGCAGTTTTATTGGACTTCTATTTGACTATTGAATCTCAACACCCATTCACTGCCATTATAAAGCTTGGAAGAGCCAGGACGTTTTTTAACATAACTCCGATTGTATTCGTCTGAAAGAAGAAAGTCATATAAACCTAGGATGTCTTAAGGGTGAGTAAATTATGGGGGTAATTTTCATTTTGTGGTGAACTGTCCCTTTAAGGCAAACCTCAAGTTTGCAAAACAAGTCTAATGCTGCAGTACGCAGGGAAGAAAGACCAGATGTCCTTTTTGAATGGATGTCAATGGAGGAGAGGCTTCACTATACTGAATAAATGTCTTTTTGTGGGAAATTAGCATATTGTTTAATGAATCAACAGCCTGTCAGCTAATCTTCAACATGTTTGGGATTAAACATTCCTTTTGGATTCATCTATTTTTAAAGTTTACAACGGAAAAATGCTGTTTTTTATGGGAAGTCATGGACAAATTTACGATAGGTACACTCTAAAAAATGCTGGGTTAAATATAACCCAGCGCTGGGTTAAAAAGGGACAAACCCAGCTATTGGGTTGTTTTGACCCAGCAGTTGGGTTCAAAACAATCCAACCGCTGGGTCAAAACAACCCAATAGCTGGGTTTGTCCCTTTTTAACCCAGCATTTTTTAGAGTGTAACTGAGCACTTGTTAAAAAAGAAAAAAAGAGAGACTTCATTAAAAAGTTTTAAGCCTTTATTGTATTTTTATGGACCGTGTTAAATTACGATCAATTAGAAAGCGGTTGGTTTAACACTGATGAATCACATGTGAGTTTGGTTCTGTTTTTGAGCAATATTGTGACCAGTATAAGAACAAACACATGGAATCTGATCTTGGATCAGAGAATTCAATATGCATACAGGCCCAAATCTCATTCTTACATCTCCAGAGTCCTGAGAAAGAGAGATTTACTATAGATATCATTGATGGCTATTATTTTTCAGGACATGTTTTAAAGTAATATAGCTATACAACGGTACACTCTGTAGGTTGTAGGATTGTTGTGGGAATATTTCTTTTTACAATCAAAATAAAGTTTAATTTAACAAGAACACAGAAATACAACTGATGTGATGTTTGTTCTTTGAGATTGTTTTTATAATGTTCATGTTATAGGAGAAAGCCCTATGGATTATGGACTTATATTTTAGCAGGAAATGCAGTTTGAAGTTAAAATGCCTCAATGATGGATTTGTTTCTTAAAAATATGCAGCTTTTGGCTTCTCAAGCCATTAACTGATGGACTGGAGTGGTGTGGGTTATTGTGATGTTTTTATCAGCTGTTTGGACTCTCATTCTGACGGCACCCATTCACTGCAGAGGATCCATTGCTGAGCAAGTAATGCAATGCTACATTTCTCCAAATCTGATGAAGAAACAAACTCATCTACATCTTGGATGGCCTGAGGGTGAGCACATTTTTAGTGAATTTCCATTTTTGGGTGAACTATTGCTCATAAAAGCCAGGAAACCAAGATTGGCTTTTTATTTGAGTGCATTTTGTATGATGATTTGTGTGCAGAAATTACACAGTAAACAGTAAAGAAAGTGTAAAATCATCTTTATTTTAAACAATGCTAATTGCGAATTAATTCAATTTCTTAGCACTTATTTGGTAATGTATGAATAAATGTTAAAGGGTGTTTTTGGACTTCAAAGAATGGCTTCTGTAGATCTACGCTGAGCGCAAATATCTGCTCCAGTCTCTGATAACTTACACAGGTGATTTTATCTGGAGATAGAAAGACAGAAAACAGATCAAATACTGGATCTAAAGTATGTTCGCACATGTAACACTTGCCAGTGTGATATGGTAAGGCGTTTTGAATGGTTTCTAGTGCATTGCAATGTGGATTCTTGTTGTCTCAAAAAAAGACTGAAGTGTTGGATCATCAGTAGCATTGGATATAAAGGATCTGCACGTATATAATAAGACGCTGAATGGAGCTGGTGCTGGTTTTTATATGTCGTCCTTGTCTTTGGCTCCGTGTTTAAGGATGCGAGTGAACTCCATGTAGTTGAAGTTTCCTTTCTTGTCGATCGGCGCCTCGCGGAAGAGCTCATCCACTTCTTCATCTGTGAAACGATCCCCCATGGTGGTCAGCAGCTCGCGGAGATGGTCCTCATGGATGAAACCTGTTACAGACGGCAGAAAAGGTTCAGTTTCTTATATGTGAAGATCACAACCACTTAAGATGTCTCTGAGTCATGAATAAGAAAAACAGGTGCCGTTTGTGTCTTTCAAACATGGATAAAAATTTCTGACTATGAACAGCTGATGGCATTTTTTTGATGAGCATCAGAGTTAAATCAACTCTGCTCAGAGTACATATTTTCCCAATCTACAGAGTGTTAAAGTAACACTGAAGCAGAGTTACCACTGTTAAGGATTTTGTGATATGTTTTCATGTCTAAAAGCCTGAGCAGTAGTTGTTCATCTTCAACATTTCTTTACTAATGCTCACTCATCAATTAATTAATTGCTTAATCATCCCATTAACTTTAACTCGGCTTCAGTGTTACTTTAACACTGTCGATTGGGAAAATATGTACTCTGAGCAGAGTTGATTTAACTCTGGGGATTTTGCTGTGTACCATTCAATAGTTTGCGGTCTGTCTTATGTTTACCAAAGCTGCAATAATTTCATCAAAAATACAGTAAAAGCAGTAATTGTCACAAATCAAGGCCGGAAACAACAGGTAAGTGCAAAACAAGATGGTTTATTGACAGGATTTGCAGAGGAATGGAACGGGTGAGGTAAATGCAGGTGAGTATCAACACAGTGAATGATTCATGGGTTCTTATCGGAGTACTGATGGTTTGTATCTTTTGCAGGTTCGCAGAGTTGATTTAACTCTGGGGATTTTGCTGTGTATAATAATATAAACAACTTTCTAAACAGATCAGCAAAAATCCAATTAATGTATTTAATTTTAATTTTATTTATTATTATTTTTTTCGTGGCATGATAATGCTTTTTTAGTCTGTATCATTGAAATACTATTATAGTTTTTATTAATATATTTTTTCATAATATCATAATATCATATTTTAATTTTAGTAACATTTTTATTAATTTGATTGTTTTTGTCATTTTTTAAATGTCTATATATATATATATTTTTTTTTTTTTTTAGCTATTTTAGTACATCAAATTTAACTAATCCCCAGAGTTAAATCAACTCTGCTCAGAGTACATATTTTCCCAATCTACAGAGTGTTAAAGTAACACTGAAGCAGAGTTACCACTGTTAAGGATTTTGTGATATGTTTTCATGTCTAAAAGCCTGAGCAGTAGTTGTTCATCTTCAACATTTCTTTACTAATGCTCACTCATCAATTAATTAATTGCTTAATCATCCCATTAACTTTAACTCGGCTTCAGTGTTACTTTAACACTGTCGATTGGGAAAATATGTACTCTGAGCAGAGTTGATTTAACTCTGGGGATTTTGCTGTGTATAATAATATAAACAACTTTCTAAACAGATCAGCAAAAATCCAATTAATGTATTTAATTTTAATTTTATTTATTATTATTTTTTTCGTGGCATGATAATGCTTTTTTAGTCTGTATCATTGAAATACTATTATAGTTTTTATTAATATATTTTTTCATAATATCATAATATCATATTTTAATTTTAGTAACATTTTTATTAATTTGATTGTTTTTGTCATTTTTTAAATGTCTATATATATATATATTTTTTTTTTTTTTTAGCTATTTTAGTACATCAAATTGAACTAAAAAAGCATGATAAATGATTTATAAAACCTATAATAACCCTGTTTAAGGTAATGAAATATTTGTAAAAATGTGTGTGTGTGTGTGTGTATGTGTGTATATATATATATATATATATATATAAACACACACTGTATATATAATTTAACTCAATACCCTAAACCAGGGGTCTGCAACCTTCAAAAGAGCCATTTTGGCCCCTTTCCCACCGAATAAAATTCACGTGGAGCCACAAAACCTATTTGATCTCTAAATGAAGATAACACAGCATATAGCTAAAGTTTTATTTTCAGTTATGTTACAGGGCAGGGACGTAGCAATCATTTCAGAAGTGAGGGGGACAGAAATTTCAAATGTATAATAATAATAATATTTATTTATGTATGTTTGTCTAATTGACAAAAAAAAACGTTTCTTATGTCTTTTAATTGGCTAAGAAATAAAATACACTGCTGGACAATAACCAATAATTTGTATTCTATAACATTTTTGATATATATTTTCCTAACGACAATTTATGATTATGATTGGTTTATATACGACAAACACTTTTTCCATTTTTATCACAGAATAAGACTGAAAATATATTTTATAGCTTCTGTAATGTAATAAATGCTATGTCAGTTAGCACTGTATCATTTATTTACTTTATTACCCGGAGAAGACTTGAAAAACACACATAAACCATATATTGTTGCAATCGTTTATTGTGTTCACGTTTCATCAGTTATGGTTTATGCTTGTTATGCAGCTTCTACAGCGATAGCTGGATGCCTTTGTCCATATTAGGGATTTCCTGGCACATCAAAAGTTATTATTACTTCTATGAGTCAGTTTTGGACTTTCTGAGTTTGAATGAAACAGACACTGCAGGAGAGTGTTGAGCGCTCCGTAATGTTCACATCAGTTTGGATAAGAATAAAATGTATCCAAAACGATGTGACTATCTTGTCTCTTTTAATTTAAATCTAGATTTATTCACACTGGCACTTGAAAACAGCTATGTTGTCCGAAAAAAGTGCAGGGGAAGAGTTTAGGTTTTATTCAAATCAGGGGAACACGTCCCCCACACGTCCCCCGGATGAAAGAGTTGCCGACCCCTGCCCTAAACCTATGCTTTACATTTTAATGTATAATGAACTATTTCAGAAATAGTTTTTTTTAATGGGTTTATCTTACATTTGTTATGTTTGTCAGGGGAAAATCTTAAAATATCAACCTAGTTACTATGATTTTGTACAGAAAATATGCTCTTTCTGAGAAGCTTGTAGATTTATGACTTTTGGGCACAAGTCAATCCTGTAACCTTCATGAGGGCATAATTATAGCAAAACATGCATTTAAATCTATTAATTTAGCTTGAGATAGCCCACTTGAGCACACTGTCTGTCTGTTAGAACAGAGGCTGTACCAGAAGCATCTTCATCAAAGCATGTGAAGGCGTTTCGTATGACGTCTTCAGGGTCGGTTCCGTTCAGACGTTCTCCAAACATGGTGAGGAACATGGTGAAGTTGATGGGTCCAGGAGCTTCGCTCATCATTCCCTCCAGGTACTCGTCAGACGGGTTCTTCCCTGGAGAAACATGAATAAACTCTCAGATGCAGGGCGGCTCTTGCATGCACACATTAAACCTGCTCTTACATCACGTTTAATTTGCGTTGGTAAAACAATATCAAATCTAGATTTATTCACACTGGCCCTTGAAAACAGCTATGTTGTCCGAAAAAAGTGCAGGGGAAGAGTTTAGGTTTTATTCAAATCAGGGGAACACGTCCCCCACACGTCCCCCGGATGAAAGAGTTGCCGACCCCTGCCCTAAACCTATGCTTTACATTTTAATGTATAATGAACTATTTCAGAAATAGTTTTTTTTAATGGGTTTATCTTACATTTGTTATGTTTGTCAGGGGAAAATCTTAAAATATCAACCTAGTTACTATGATTTTGTACAGAAAATATGCTCTTTCTGAGAAGCTTGTAGATTTATGACTTTTGGGCACAAGTCAATCCTGTAACCTTCATGAGGGCATAATTATAGCAAAACATGCATTTAAATCTATTAATTTAGCTTGAGATAGCCCACTTGAGCACACTGTCTGTCTGTTAGAACAGAGGCTGTACCAGAAGCATCTTCATCAAAGCATGTGAAGGCGTTTCGTATGACGTCTTCAGGGTCGGTTCCGTTCAGACGTTCTCCAAACATGGTGAGGAACATGGTGAAGTTGATGGGTCCAGGAGCTTCGCTCATCATTCCCTCCAGGTACTCGTCAGACGGGTTCTTCCCTGGAGAAACATGAATAAACTCTCAGATGCAGGGCGGCTCTTGCATGCACACATTAAACCTGCTCTTACATCACGTTTAATTTGCGTTGGTAAAACAATATCAGTGTGTTGGAGATAAATGGTAGATATTTTGCATGCAGTTTGGCCTGCAGAATATTATTGGCAAAAGATATTGCTGGTTGAAACTTAAGGTTATATTTCAGTCCAAAATTAAAAGATTTGTTTTTCTAAATAAATAAAATAATTACACAAAAACAAGGATATTATTGGATGAATCTCACAAAACCTAATCTAACAAACTAAAGTCAAATTTCAGCACTCAATCAATCAAATGGATGGATGAATACATACATACATAAAAAATACATACATGACTTTAGATGACATTTTGTAAGAATAATCTTTTTTGCATATATATATATACTGTATATATACTTACAAATACAACATATTTATGCAAAAAATATTATTCTTACAAAATGTCATCTAAAGTCATATTTCAGCACAAAATCAAAACTAAAAATTAAGCCTATTTAAATAAATAAAATATTTACACTCTCTCTCTCTCTCTCTCTCTCTCTCTCTCTCTCTCTCACACACACACACACACACACACACAAAGATATTATTGGATAAATCTTACAAATCCTCATCTTACAAACTAAGTCATATTTCAGCCCAAAATCAAAATTAAAAAAAAATTAAGCAAATAAATAATTATTTACGCAGACAGACAGACAGATAGAACGATAGATAGATAAATAGATAGATAGATAGATAGATAGATAGATAGACCAGAGAGGCCAGCATGTCGTGTAGATCCTCTTTATCGATGAATCCGTCTCTGTTCTGATCGATCATGTTGAAGGCTTCTTTGAACTCCTGGATCTGTGATTGGTCGAACATGGCGAAGACGTTGGACGTGGCCCTCTGCGGCCGCTTCTTTGTGGTCTTTCCTTTGGCACGCTTGGCCGCAGACATTCTGACCGCAGGGTTTGGTTCTGCAGAAGGAAGAGATAAAAGATTAAATTCATTAGAGTCGACTTATCGCAGTCTGGAGGACAACGCACAATACCATGGAGCAATGCCATTTTTCGTAATTCTTCTAAAAGTACAGAATTAAAAAGACTACATGAATTAAAAAGACAATGTCAATGGGACATTGTGTATAAAGACACTTAAATATTATTTGGAAAATATTTAGATTCTATTAAGTTCTGTACTATACTCGTAGATGTATTAATTATTTAAATCAAATGTTTATTGTATCCTTATTTATTTTAATCTAATTTATTTATTCTAGTCTAGATTTTATTTATTTATTTTAATGCAATTTGTTTATTTTAATCTATTTTTTGTTATTTATTTAATCTGTTATTTGTTTATTTTAAAATATTTTCAATTTGTGTTGTAAGATGTATTATGTAAATGTAAATGTAAAATATTTATTTTTGGAGCAATGCCATTTTTTGTCATTCTTCTAAAAGTACAGAATTAAAAAGACTACATGGAATATTTATACTGAAAATAATTCATGTCACACCACGTCCAATTAAATTAAGGTAGTAAAAGCGAAAAAAATTATTATTATTTATTTAATTGTTATTTACAGATGTCGAATTAGACTTTACATATTTTCAAATGTAAAATATCAAATAAATGAACTGTTTTGAAACTATCATTTACTCTGCCCTGGGACATTTACAAAATCAACCTGTTCAGAAGTTAAAACTGAAACTGTATTATATCCATTAACAAAGCCAACAATGATTAGCCATTCTTAAAGTAACTGTACCTTGTTTTTCTGTGGAAAGGGGTTAGAGAACGTCTGTGTGCATTGGGTCTGTTCCTCTGCTGGGCTGAAGGGAAGTTTGTTTGGTTTTTCAGGCGTTTCTCCACACCTCCCTGTTCCTGAGCCGGCCAATAAGGTCAGCATCCCACAGCCGGGCGCGTCTGGAGCCTTTAGCCATACAAGGCAAAGGAATCTGAGAGCGGCAGGCCTTGCATATCCTGAGAAACAGCAGAGCGTTTTCACAATGGCCAGAAGGAGGCCTTATTTAGCAAATAAATGACTTGGTATGCAGCACAAGAGAAACATTTCCTTTGGCAGGCAGTGCAGATGAAGACCAGCACGGGGCGGCTTTCTCCAGGTCACTTCAGGCCCGGCTGAGGGTTTTGCATTATAGGAAAAATGATGCAAATTTATGAGCTGCTGGCTTGGTAGCGTGTGATATAGTTATCGCTCTTCGTCTTCTTCTCGAATATTTATATACATGAATAAATGGATTTTATCATTCCCATAGAAAAATCTAGAGCTATAGAAATGTCTCTGCTGCAAGCAGTGTTTAAATAGTAATAAATAAATGTGTAAAATAGGTTAAATAAATCAATAATGCAATTTTGCAAGTGTAGTATTTTAAACCAATGCATTATATTACAAAAGGTCACAGTATTTGACATGTTTGTTCGTGAGCATAAAGTAAAGTCTGAGTATGGGACACCATACACCATGTCAATGGGACATTGTGTATAAAGACACTTAAATATTATTTGGAAAATATTTAGATTCTATTAAGTTCTGTACTGTACTCGTATACGTATATTATTTATTTAAATCAAATGTTTATTGTATCCTTATTTAATTTAATCTAATTTATTCTAATCGAAATTGTATTTATTTATTTTAATGCAATTTGTTTATTTTAATCTATTTTTTGTTATTTATTTAATCTGTTATTTGTTTATTTTAAAATATTTTCAATTTGTGTTGTAAGATGTATTACGTAAATGAATGTTTTTAAACAAAAATATTTATTTTAAATGTTTTATTTTTTTATTATGTATTTATTTTAATCTAATTTATTTATAGTTTTTGCTTATACAACGTTTCTTATACATCTTTGGGTAAGAAAGTTTCTGTCTAGATGGAACATCAATTTAAGTGTATACACTTTTCATATTAGACTAAATAACACGAGAAACAATTATTGTGTCAAAACCTAATATAAAACAAATATTGTACATAAAGCTTAAAGGTTTTAGATGTTTTAATTTTGTAAAATATCCAATATATCATCGCTGACATGTTTAGGATGACTTGAACACTGCAGGACTCAGAATTAGGCATCAATAATACTTTTTCCAATATAATTATTCTCTAATGTTCTCATGTTTATCCAAATCTAAATGTTTGTCCAAAGTGATTCACAAATTAGGGAAAACGTTTAATTTATATTCGTATTTATATATATATATATGTATGTGTATATATATATGTATATATATATGTGTGTGTATATATATGTATGTGTATATATATATATATGTATGTGTATATATATATATATATATATATACACACACACACGAAGAACTGATCTGTTTTGCATTTTTAAATCTATAGATTCGTTCTACATTCGGTTCTACACACGAGCCGCGCACCTTTCTGATTGATGTTAAGTGTATCCAATCAGACGAGCGCAACAAACCCCGCCCCCAGCGTCTTCAGACCGTGATTGGTTCAGACCTTTGAGCGGTAAAAGTTCCTAGCTTATTGCTGTTTTCTTTGAGTCATCGAGGGGTTCTTCCAGCAGGGGGCGATTCGAGCCGCATACAACAAAATTGTTATTAAAAGCCTCATCTGGTTTATTCTCCGCTGTGCAAAGTAATAGCTATCACGTGACACGCGCTTTTCTACCAGAAACGATGTGGATATTTTTTGCACCTGCAGTAATTATACTGAGAAACATTAATGTCATCTAACTGAAAAAAACACCTTGAAAAGTAACGATAAAATAATAATTATTTTAACTGATCGTGCCTGGCCAATCACAGCCAAGATTCGCGCCGCTAGCCCCGCCCATTCTTTCCTTCAGGCGATGCTAATCGCCGTTCTAGCGCTTATTCTTCATCTTCAGCAGCAGACTCAAACACTTCCTGAAGCACAGCGGTCACAATAAGTCTGCTCTGTCCCGGAGCTATTAATGGAAAAACATTTTAACTGCGTTTGAATGGGAAATGGTCCGTGTGTTTGTGTCCTCTCCGCAGCGGGGTGAGTAAACACAGCTTTTGGTTCTCGGAGGCTAATAAATCAGCAGATGTGAAATGAAGTCAGGCCAGTAATGACCTAATCTGAGTCTCGTGATAAATGCACAGGTGAACTGACCTCTAATGACCTCTGGTGACCTGTGCTGACCCTCACACCTGTCCGTCAAGATTGTCAATCTGCGCCTAAAAGTCATGGACAATAATAACGACAGCAAGAAGGCGGAGCCCAGAGTCAATGAGAAGAAATGCTGTGAGTTATTATTATTTATGCTCATTTTAGTGTCTTGATTAAGTGCCCAATGGTTGATCAAACGTTGTGGGGATTCAAACTAGAAACCTTCTGGTTACCAGGTTAGATCTAGTCTGGCTAAGACACTCATATGTAGCTAAATGTAAATAGTGAGGTATTATTTAATGTCTTCTATTGGTTAAAGATATGAGCTAACACCTGAAAGGTTGTAGGTTCAAACCCTGATCATTTAACAGCAGAGTACTCAGTGTTTATGATGACTACAGTTATTGTGCCGTAAGTCAAGGGTTTTCATCTTTTTAGATGGCAAAGATCTCCAAAGATGACTTATTTTCGTGTATAAAGACTCAGTTTTTACTCATTTAAATATTATTTGGAAAATATATAGATTCTATAGTTTTTTTTCCCTACTGACTACATTATTTGTTTATTTATATCATATTGTGTTCCTATTTAATTTGATCTAATTCTTTTTTTAATCTCATTTTTATTTAAACTATTTCGTAATTTATTTATTTTTATCTAATTTATTGGATTTCATTTGATTAATTTATTTTCATTATTTATATTTTTATTATTTATTCATTTTAGTCTATTTTTAAATTTAATTTATTTTAATCTGACTATTTATTTATAAAAAAAAAAATATTATGCATATTTATACATTTATGCTTTATACATGTATACGTTTTTCTTTTCCTCCGACCTTAGCACTCCCTTTATATCGGTATATATCTATACTATATGCAACATCGTAAATGCTTATTAAACGACTCATTTAGAGTGTATTGATGTGGTTATGAATGTGTTTTTCTGTAAAAACCACTTATAGCCTTGTATAGTATATAAGAAGCCCCTTGTTTGAGTTGGCAGTGCTTGTGATGGGCGTCTGGGAGCTTTGCACATCAAGACATGCTGTAGTTTTTCAACATGAGACCAACATTGAAAACCAGAGCCAAGAGTTGAGCTTTAACATGTTCGTTCAAGCTGAAAGAGAAATCTAAATCAGATTGGAATTTGAGCTTTGGGTCCAGACAGTGTTTTGTGGAGTGTAAAGCTTAGTTTAGAGGCGTGTCGGCTCCTGTTTCTCTTCTTCAGTGCAGAGTAATATATTGATGAATAGGCAAGAACATCATAGAGACTTGGTGTATGGTCAATAAGCAACCACCTAACAACCACCCTAAACACCCTAGCAACGCCCTTGCAATCATCCTGTACACCTTAGCAACCCTATGGCAACCCAGTCAAAAGTGTTACTGCTAACTAAAAAAATAAAAAATGTATTAAAATTTTTTTCGGAATTGAAAAAAAAAAAAGTAATAATATGCATGTGAAAAAAAAAATATATTTTATTATTTTATCATTGTTATTATAGTTTAATATTTTAAATATATTTTATTTTATATATAAGAAAATATAAATATTAGATGAAATGAAACCTAAATGAAAATAAAATTAGAAATAATGCCTTGGCAACTAGCTGAAATTATGTACTAAAATTACTTAAATGATGTACTAAAATTAATGAAAGCTTTATAGAAATATTAAAAAAGTACATAACAAAATTACTAATATAAACAGAAACTATAAAAATAAAATCTAATTCAAAAATATTAATAAATGCTATAATATTATATAAATAATACTTAAATAAAACTGATTTGCAGAAGTATGCATGGCTAGTATATGGGTTTGCAGATGAGATGCTCAAAATATTAATTGAAATGTTAAAATATATAAAAAATATGAGATGAAATGAAACTTAAATTAAAATAAAAAATTTTGCCTTGGCAACAAACTAAAATATATAGATTTAAGTAGATTTAAGTTAACCTGCAACAACATTAGTCAAAACTCTATAGAAATGTAAAAAAAAAAAAAAGCACATAACAAAATGACTAAAACTGAAAATATTAAAAATAAAAGCGAATTCAAAATAGTAATAAATGCTACACTATTATACAAATAATATTAAAAGTATGCATAGTAGGTATATGGTTTTGCTGTTTCATTCTCAGAAACACGTGGCAGTTATTAAATACAAGAAGCCTCAAGCTACTCTCATACATAATTGATAAGGAAATTATGTCAATAACTTCAGCAGCATGAAAGCCTCATGCCCTCAGTGAAATCCTCATGAATGTCGCTTATTTCCAGGCATGAGAAACTCTGAAGCATCTGAAATGTGTGCAGCTGTTATGAGTACAAATATGATGACCTGGGAACAGAATGTCTGATAAGGTAACTGACAAAAGTAAATGACGTGTGTTTGTTTGTTTTCATAGCATGGGCGTCATACATGACCAACTCCCCTACTGTCATCGTACTGATCGGCCTTCCCGCCAGAGGAAAGACATACATATCTAAGAAGCTGACGCGATACCTCAACTGGATCGGGGTTCCCACGAAAGGTGAGAGGAAAAATTGAGTTCAGCATTATTCTGTGTTGATTATTATTATTTATGTAATTATTACTGGGGATGAAACACCCAAATTATTTCTTGAATTAAACCAGTCAGAATTAATAATCTCAATTAATTCAGATAATTTTTTAAAAAGTTACTCATAACTATTACATGATTTTCTGAAAGCCTGTTTCCTACACGGGATAAAATAAAAAGGTATTTGCGACTTTTTAGTTCACAATTCTGATTTTTTTTCTCACAATTATACGTTTTTTTCTCATTCTGAATTGACACGCAATTCTGAGAATTGTGAGATATGTATAAACTTATTTTTTATTTCATGGTGTAAAGAAAACCCCAAAAAACGAGATGTAAACTACCAATTATGTGTTTACAACTTGCAATTGTTCACAGAATAAACTCAATTCTGAGAAAAAAGTCAGAATTGTAAGACATAAAAACAAAATTGCAAGAAAAGGTCAGAATTACGAGATATGTGTAAACTATATATATATATATATATATATATATCAATGTTCCCCCCCCACCCCCCTTTGAAGGTCAAGTTAATTTTATTTAATTATATTTTCTCTATAGCGCCAGATCACAACAGAAGTCATTTAAAGTTACCTTTCCAATAGAACAGGTCTATACCTTGTTCTTTTATTAAACAAACTAAGTAGCCTTATGATATTTATCTTATTTACACAACGGCATGTCATTTCGGTCTCTACGTTATGGTCGCACTCTCTGTATCGCGCACAGCGGAGTTCTGCCCCGATGCGCGCACACACATACACGCGCTCATAAATACATGAACAACATCTCCAGAACTTCTCTGAGAGTCACTTCATGAGCATTTGACCGTTTCATTTGAGTAAAACTATCCTCATATCATATACACAGAAATGTAAATGTATTCACGACAACCCGTCAAAATAAAAGTTCAGTTTAACTTGAAGGCATTGCAGCAGAAATATATTACTATTGTTGAGTAGTATGTACGTAACAGGCTGCTGCTACTACTACTAAAATTATTAAAACCTTATTTTTAAGGAATAATCATACAATATTTCTTCAGTGTTTTAATTGTAATATTAAATTACCTTTATTTTCCAAAAAATAACATTTGTTTAATTTTCATTACTTAATTAAAAGATAGATTAAAAGAATGTTTTATGCCTTAAAAATGTAAATACAGAACACAGAATTTCTGAGCAAAAATCATAAGGCTATTGTAAGAATAAATTAAACTTGTTTTTATGCTTTCAAATAATTAGACATGCTAAAACAGAATTTGGTAACAATAAAACATAAGGTTGGAAAAAATAAAACATTTCATAGGGCCCCAAACATGTAATTTTTGTTAAACTTTTAATAAATTGGTGTTACATTGTTTAAGTTTCATGATTTTAATTAATTAGACATGCTTTTTGATTGATAAAATTTAATTTAACCATTAAAAAAAAAAAATGGAACACCCCCCCCAAAAGCCGTAAACCTAGGGGAAACACTGTATATATGTATATGTATAAAAATGTTATTTCATGGTGTAAAAAAAACAGAATCGCGAAAAAGTCAGAATTGTGAGATATAAGCTTGCAATTGCATGAAAAAGTAAGAATTGTGAGATTAAAAAGTCACAATTACCTTTTTTTATTGTTTTATTCCGTCACAGAAACAAACCAAATTGCAAGATGTAAACTAGCCATTTTACAGGCTTATAACTCGCAATTCTGAGAAGTAAAAATAAAAACAGAATTGCAAGATGTAAACTTGAGTTTATAACTTTCTGGCCTTGGTACCTTTCTAGCATTGGTACTGTATCTATGAAATATTATACTAGCTTCACTCTGTTGCTTTCCCTGTATGTTGGTAACAGTTGTGTGTTTTTGTCAGTTTTTAACCTGGGCGTTTATAGACGTGAGGCGGTACAGTCATACAAGTCTTTCGACTTCTTCCGTCATGACAATGAAGAGGCCATGAAAATCAGGAAGTGAGTATCCACATACATTACACCTACAGTACACAAATACCTCCGACACAAGAGGATGTTTCTACAGCAGAATGACTCGCCTGAATCCGTTTCAGTCAGGAGGAAGTTTTGCAGGAAGTTGCACTGTGTGACATACTGTAATGTAATATTCACATCAAACTATGTTTCCAAAGAGCAAGAATAAAGATCTTTTAAATGATTGTGATTTGACACACAGTGGTTCCTGAGACGAGTGCTGGTGAATCGAGTCAGGAACTGTTGAGTTTAATGTGATTGTGGTCTGGTTCTTGTCTGTTGTTTCTCTCAGACAGTGTGCCATCGTGGCTCTACGGGATGTGAAATCTTATCTGAATGAGGAGGGAGGGCAGATCGCTGTAAGTTCTGCTCTTTGGACACGTTTATTTGTGGACTTCACATACTGAAACTAGAATTTCTCCATTTATTAGCTCAAATATTAATCACTTGTGTGACGGAGTGTTTTGTGTTATTTGTGGTGTTATTGTAATCTACAGACTAAAAAATGTAAAAATATTTTTTTAATTGTAATAAAATATAAAATTAGATGAAAAATATAGAATTAGGAATGCTGCTTTGGTAACTAACTGAACTAAACTACTGAAAAATGTAATGGAAAAATAAAACTGAAATAAAAGTAAATGAATGCTAAACAGAAATAATAAAATTACAAAAACACATAATAAAATGACTGCAAATTAAAATAAATGAAAGTTAAATATAAATATGGGAAGAAATATTAAAAATGACATAAGCACAATGAAATTACTACAACTTTACTATTAAAATGCTGTGTTGGCAACTAACTGAAATACGTTGAAGTATTAAAATTACTAAAACAACTTAATAAAAATAAATGAAAGCTAAATAGATTTTTTCTTTTTGAAAAATAATAAAATGGCAAAAGCACATAATAAAATTACTACAAATAAAAATAAATGAAAGCTAATAAAAAAAAAATAGTAAAAATGACAAAGCACATAATAAAATGAATACAACTTAAACTAAAATTCAAATTCTGTGTTGGCAACTAACTAAAATAAGTTTAAGTACTAAAATGATTGAAACTACTATAAACTGAAATGAAAATAAATTAAAGATAAATAGAAATATTTACAAAAAATAATCAAGTAACAAAAGCACATAGTAAAATTACTACAAATAAATATAAAGCTAAATGGAAATATTGAAAGAAATAGTAAAAATAGCAATCTAATCATTAAAATGCTGCGTTGAAAATACAAGCTGAAATACAAAAATGACTTAAACTACTAAAAACTGAAATAAAAATAAATGAAAGCTAAACAGAAATATAAAAAACTAATAGTATTAAAATGAGATATGAGAAAATGATTAAATATTAAAAATAAATAAATATTAAAATATGAAAAAGCTAATTCAAATGATTAATGAATACTATGATATATAAATAAAAGTAAAATATCACTGCCCCAGATGCTGTTTAAACACTTCATCATATCACATCGTCATTAGAAAAATTCAAATCCATTCCTTCATTTCATAAATATTTGCTATACCAGTTTCTATACCAGTCAAAAAGAGCATAAAATAAGTCAATGTCATTCCAATCAATTAAAAATATTAATTGCTTCTATGTTACCTAACTGCACTTGTGATGTAAGCCAATTATTATAATATTTTTATTATATTTGATGAGATATTTCCTAATTTGTTTCTCTTCAAGATCATTGTGTGAAGTGATCATTTGTCTCTGGCAGGTTTTTGATGCCACAAACACAACCAGAGAGAGAAGGAACCTCATCCTGAGTTTTGCGAAGGAAAACGCATATAAGGTTAGAGGATGTGTGAATATCAGTCGCTTACTGAAATATTAGCACCTCTTCATGTTCAGAGCATCCAGAGATCAGTAAAGCTCCTCCGTCAGCCTGCTTTGCCCTTTATAAACCTGAATAGAAACGTTCTTGCAGGCTTTGATGGGATTATTTTTGGTTTTGTTTCCAGGTGTTTTTTGTGGAGTCACTTTGTGACGACCCAGAAGTCATTGCTGCCAACATACTGGTGAGTGTCACCATTAATATTTATCACTGCTGTTATATCACAGTAAGTTATGGTTAGAGAGCAAGAAATCTTTTTGTGAAGTAGAGTTGTTCTTTTCTTCATTTTATTGTAATTATGCATCTTTAAGGAGCTCATATTAATTGAGAGACCACAGGAAATATTTGGTGCTTTAAAAAAAAAAAAATTACTTTTTTAAAACTATTAAAAAAAAAAATTAATAAATAAATAGACACATTGCACATCTAAAATCTACACATTTTCCCGTTTATTTAAATACGTTATACATAAGCTTATATATCTTGATGAGGATCAAAATGAAGTTAATATCATTGGACAGCAGTGACCTCATGTTTGTTTCATAACATAACATTCATTTGGTGGCAGGATGTGAAGGTTTCCAGTCCTGATTATCCTGAGAGAGACCGAGAGAGTGTGATGGAGGATTTCCTGAAGAGAATCGAGTGCTATAAAGTCACATATCAGCCGCTAGACCCCGATGACCATGACAAGTATGATTTTATTTTCATTTTAAAAGTGTCTTTCCATTTATTATTTTTCCAAAACGTCATCTCCGAGGAGACATTTGGCAAGATTTTCCTTTGGGCAAATTTTTTTTTTCTTTTTCTTGTTTTTTTGATAAAAAATGAAATTATTACTTTTTTTTATATTTTCCATTTTTTGGGAAACTATAATGATAATATTCAATGTCAGCCATTGATCTGTGCCCTGAACACCATCTTTAGCTTTTCTGTTGTTATGTCATTGAGTCTCCAGCAGAGAGCATTACAGTACTGAATTAGTTTTGTTCATTTGTTGGCAAGTGGTTTTGTTTGGTGATAATAATATATCATCAGTGCCTCTAAATGCCTTCTAATTGATTGAGGTAATGTTAAAATTATGTGGATGTTCAAATATTAACCTAGCATCTCTGAAAAACCTATAAGGATGGTTTGGACAGTGCAACGAATTTGTGAGATTCCTCAGGCGTAGCGTTTGGCTCTAATCATGGAGTAATCTTGCTTGGAAAATTTGACCCATTGTAGTGGATCCAGACACAGCTGCCTTCAGACTTCTTCCATTAGCTTTGATACTCTGCTGTGAAAGTGCTCATGCATCATTCAGAAAACTGCTAATGTCCACTTACAACCTACAGAAATTTATATATATATATATATATATACATAAATTTTAAATAAATGTATTATACACTTACAAACATGAGCTCCAAAAAGGGAAACAGCTTTACGATACACTATATTTAAATATACAGAAATAAGTGGAAAACTCACAGTATGTTGTTCCTGAAATGTATTTAGATTTAACTCTTGTTTTAATCAACAGTGTTGGTTTAGTTTTAGTTTTTATTCATGTATTATTATAGTATTTATTATTATATTTTGAAAACTCGTTTAAAAAAAAAATTACATTAATTTTAAATGTTCTGTTAGTAAATTTGTTCTGTTTTTGTATTTTTTCTTAGTTTTTAAATATTTATATTTCATTTACGTATGTTTTAGTTTTCGTAATTTTAGTACTTCAACATATATTTTTTTCAGTTAGTTGCTAAAGCAGCATTTCTAATTTGTTAATGTTTTTGTCATTTTTATTAGTTAATATTACTATTTTAATTCATTTATTGTAGTACTTCAACTTATTTTTAGTTGTACGCCAAGGCAACCTTTCAAATTTTTGTTTAAGTTTTTTCCGTCTATTATTTGTATTTTACTTTATTTCAATGTTATTTTAATTAGCAAAAATGTTTTGTAATACTTTTAGTTAATGATAACAACACTGTTAATCAAGGTATTAATTTTGACACCAAATTTACAGATATAAATTATAAAACAAATAATTTAATTCTAGCATTATACCACTTACTTTATTATAGCATATACTATTTACAAAGTCTAGCATTTTTACATTTAAACACTTGGCTGAAAGTTTTATGCTTGACTTACAAATGAATAAATCTATAGTATTACTACCTATTTTTTTTAATTCTATTTTTTGAAGAGTCATTTACTGAAAAACAAATAGAGTTTTCAACTTTTTTTTGTTTTTTTTGTAGGGTATAGATTGCTCATAAACATGAATGCTTTTTAAACAAGGGAGGGCATTGTTGTGGGTAATGAGGTACAAGTTGATCTTACGATTATATGATGGTGATTAATTATTTTTCAGCATGTGTCTTACACAATTAAATGCAAGAGCAGTCACCTGTTAATTGTTCTGTACTCAAGAGGACAGTAGTCTCTTTTTCGGGCTCTTTCAGGGACCTGTCCTTCATCCAGGTGATCAACGTCGGCCAGCGTTTCCTGGTGAACCACGTTCAGGATTACATCCAGAGCAAGATCGTCTACTACCTCATGAATATTCATGTTCAGAAACACTCCATCTACCTCTGCCGCCACGGCGAGAGCCAGCACAACGTCCAGGGCTGCATCGGAGGAGACTCCGAGCTCTCCAGCAGAGGAAAAGAGGTACAGTTCATGGATGGATGAGCAGAATATGGCTCCTTTAAAACAGTCTTATTTCAGGATCATTGATATACTGTAACACCGCCCTGCATTTGCTGAATGAAATCAAATACTTCTTTCTTACTCCTTTTGAGGTGCTGATTCAAGAAATACTGGCTGTTTTGCTCAAGCACGTCACACTTTCTCACAAAATATGATGCATTTTGTAGCATTTTTGCTTTCGACAACCATTTGTAAGGTGAAGAAGTCTTTTATTAAACTTAATCAGCAAAAAAAAGCTGCCACAAACACATGATTCCTGTCTTCATCTGAGTCATATTACGACTATTTGTTCAATTCTAAGCCCATTTTCACATGTATGAGTTATTCTGAAAACATTATTTCCACTTTTTTCACTAAGTTGAATTATGCATTTTGATTACTTCTGTTTATCATTCAAATGGAAACTTTTGACATTTGACTGCTTGTTATTTTGATAAGTGCATTAAAGCTGATACATACTGTATATATATATATATATATATATATAGTTTGTAAAATCGAATATATAATTTATATATTATATATTTGATACATATATATTTATCATATATATAATCATATATATATATGATACATATATATAATTTAAATATGAGATACATATATATAATTAATGCAATTTGTAAATCTTATTTTATTAAAAACTGTGATATAAAGGTTTTTTTGTTGGTTTTTTAAACTCAGTATCATTTTGCAAATCAGAAGATTTTATTATAATGTGGGGCTGTGTTATAGTGTTTAATATTTTGAATTAGGTTTTATTTTTGTTTTTTGTTTTCACTTTAATTTTAGTTGACGTTTTAGTAATTTTGTTGTGTGCTTTTGTCATTTTTACTAGTTTTCTTTAAGTATATAAAGTTTTTATTGTTTTTTATTATTATTACAATGACAATTATAATATTATTATAGTTATTTTTTTGTTTGTTTGTTTAAGTTCGTTTAGTTTTAGTTATTTTAGTACATCAAGTTAAACTGAATGAAAATAAGAAATGTTGCCTTGGCAACTGAAACAAAATATGTTTTTAATATTATCTTTTACTATAATTTTATTTATTTTATTTTATCCATTCATTCATTCATTAAAAAAAAATAGTGGTTTTAGTTTTAGTTAACTGTAATAACCGTGCTTTAAAGTATGTTTGTTTTGTTATGTATCAAAATTGAGAGTTGTTTGTATGTAGTTCATTTGTTAATCATGTTTTTTTATTACTGGTGCACATGTAAAACTGCTTTCATGGTCACCCTGTGTTGATTCCCAGCATGCTCTGGGTCAGTCCTTTACCACAAGTGGGTGAGAAATGTTTAACGGGCTTGTTAACGTCTTTCCCGCTCTGTGTTAGTTTTCTAAAGCCCTGCGTGGGTTCCTGGAAAACCAGAAGATCCCAGACCTGAAGGTGTGGACCAGTCAGCTCAGACGCACCATCCAGACGGCCGAGGAGCTGGGCGTCCCGTACGAGCAGTGGAAAATCCTCAACGAGATCGACGCCGTGAGTTTCCTGCCGCTGTTTTTATTACAGCAGCAGCTTCTGGTTTTCATATGAACACTGGGCACTGAACACTGTTTTTCATTACTTATCGTGATAAAACAGAGGTGTTTTCTGTTAACAGGCAATTAGTCAATTTGAGTCAGATGTTTGATGGAGGTGTGTCATATTTAACTCGTTTACCACACCAAAATGAATTCAGCTATATCATTGGGAAAACTTTGTCATGAGTGCAATAAAGGTCTGCTTCCAAATCAGTGGGAAATAAGGTAGATGTTTAATGCTTTAAAAAGAATAGTTCACCCAGAAATCTAAATTTGCTCAAGACGTAGAGGAGTTTGTTTCTTCATCAGATTTGGAGAAATGTAGCATTGCATCAGTGTCTCAGCAATGGATGCTCTGCAGTGAATGGGTGCCGTCAGAATGAGAGTCCAAACAGCTGATAAAAACATCACAATAATCCACACCACTCCAGTCCATCAGTTAACATCTTATGAAGTGAAAAGCTGCGTGTTTGTAAGAAACAAATCCATCATCGAGACATTTTTAACTTCAAATTGTTGCTTCCAGCTAAAATATGAGTCCATAATATTGCTTTGTCCAGTGAAAAAGTCATCTCGTCTGAATCAGATAAATCTGCACAGATCAAGCACCGTTTACAAGCCAAAGCAGTCCAAAACAGATCTGAACAAATATGTGGGTGGATTTTGATCTGAGAGACAGACTGTAAGAAGTGTTATTATGGATTATGGACTCGTATTTTGGCCAGAAGTGATGGTTTGAAGTTAAAACACCTTAATGATGGATTTGTTACTTACAACCACGCAGCTTTTCACTTCATAAGATGTTAACTGATGGACTGGAGTAGTGTGGATTACTGTGATGTTTTTATCAGCTGTTTGGACTCTCATTCTGACGGCACCCATTCACTGCAGAGCATCCATTGCTGAGACAGTGATGCAACGCTACATTTCTCCAAATCTGATGAAGAAACAAACTCATCTACGTCTTGGCCTGCTGAAAATGAGTAAAATATCAGCAAATTTTTATTTTTGGGTGAACTAATCCTTATATTGCAAACAGAAAAAAACAAAATCACATTATTGCAAAACATCTGAATTGACTGAGAAGCATTTGTGCTGTTTGTGCATTGTTATTTTTTATGTGTGTTTATGTTTTGTATCAGGGCATCTGTGAGGAAATGACATATGAAAAGATTAAAGAAACACACCCGGATGAATATTTTCTCAGAGACCAGGACAAATACCATTACAGATACCCAGGAGGAGAGGTACGGACCATTATGACACCTGACGTGCCATTTAGAGTTCCCACATTTTAACAATAACTCTTCCTGACTTTTTCAGTTGTTTTTTTTTGTTATGATTCAGATTTAGACCGATTGACTAATGAACTATTCATTCACTGAAAAGAATTGACTCAAAAGAATTCACTCCCACTTTCTGAAAGAAATCTCTTTTGCTCACCAAGGCTGCATTTATTTAATAAAAAAAATACAGTAAAAACAGTAATATTGTGAAATATTATTACAATTTAAAATAGCTGTTTTCTATTTGAATATATTGTAAACTGTAATTTATTGCTGTGATCAAAGCTGAATTTTCAGCATCATTCAGTCTTCAGTGTCACATGATCCTTCAGAAATCATTCTAATATGCTGCTCAAGAAACATTTCTGTTCAATGTGAACATTATTATCAATGTTAAAAACAGTTGTACTGCTTCATATTTTGGTGCTGATACATTTTTTTCAGGATACTTTGTTGAATAGAAAGTTCAAAAGAACAGCATTTATTTGAAATATAAATCTTTTGTAAATGTATAAATGTCTTTACTGTCACTTTTTATCAATTTAATGCATCCTTGCTTAAAAGTATAAATTCCTTCAAAAAAAAAAAAAACCATTCAAATCTAGCAGTGAGTTTTGTCCTAATTCTCTTGCCGTAGTCCTATCAGGACCTGGTGCAGCGGTTGGAGCCAGTAATCATGGCGCTGGAGAGACAAGGCAATGTGCTGGTCATCTGCCACCAGGCCGTCATGCGTTGCCTCCTCGCCTACTTCCTGGACAAGAGCGCTGGTGCGTCACAAACACACACACACACACTCAAATCATATCAGGCCTCTTGTGACTTACTGATAATGACATAATGTGAGACACGAGTATGTAGGTTTCTGAAGGCTGGTGTTCAGGTAATAAGTATTCAAAGAAGTGATCCTCTAACAAACTTTATTTGAAGAAGTTGTTGATATTCCTGGGCAAAGTTCTTCTATGCACAACCTCTTTGACTCAAATTTGTGTTCATAATGTCTGCAGATCTTCTCATATTTTGGTGTGCTTCTATTGCACAGATGATTTGCCATATCTGAAGTGCCCCCTCCATGTGGTCCTGAAACTCACCCCAGTGGCTTATGGTATGTGTTGTGTTTCATTCATATAGCAACAAGTAACAGAAATATAAGTTTACATCAAAAACACAAATCAAAGATCACAACAACTGTTTACCAGAGGATAAAACACATAATTTGTTAAAAGTAGCTTAAACTCATTTAATGACAGACGCATTATATCCAAATCCCTTTTTTCCTAGCTCTGTTCAAACCCGAGGAACTTTAAAATATGTGGCCCTGGACCACAAAACCAGTCATAAGTGTCAATTTCTCAAAATTTAGATTTATACATCATCTGAAAGCTGAATAAATAAGCTTTCCATTGATGTATGTTTGTTATGATAGGACAATATTTGGCTGAGATACAACTATTTGAAAATAGTTGTCTAGATTAGGAATCTGAGAGTGCAAAAAAATCCAAATACTGAGGAAAATCACCTTTAAAGTTGTCCAAATTAAGTTCTTAGCAATGCATATTACTAATCAAAAGTTTTGATATATTTACGGTAGGAAATTTACAAAATATCTTCATGGAACATGATCTTTACTTAATATCCTAATGATTTTTGGCATAAAAGAAAAATCGATAATTTTGAGGTTTTTTTGGCTATTGCTAAAAATATACCTAAGCGACTTAAGACTGGTTTTGTGGTCCAGGGTCACATATAACAGATAATTTGAGTGAAGTTTATAGCTCACGTTTGTATTGGAAAATGTGAGAGATAAGTAAGATGGAGTTAAACCACAAATAGAGTTATAAATGAAACAATACCAATTAAAACTTCTTCAGGAATACAAAGATGGTAACCTTCTCATATAAAGTGCAGTGATCTGTTTGATAGCTACAGCCAGTAATAAAACGTAAGGCGCTATGAAAAACAGTATCAAGTTTTTTTTTTTTTTTTTTTTTTTAGTTATTTTCCGGGGGTT